GCGGTGGACCTGCAAGGCCGGCGGGAGTGCAAGGAAGCCCCGCGAAGGCCCTCCCTGGCCCCAGGCAGGCAGGGGTGGGGAGAGGCAGGGAGGAAGCAACTTACCCTCCCTCTTCTCCTGCTTCCTCCTGGCTGAATGAGGGCCGGAAGCGGGGTGGCCAGAAGCGGGGGGGGCTTCATCATGTGCCCCGCCCCCCGTACCTCACCCGGGGGAACTGCGATCCCCCACGTTCCCCCCCGAAATGACCTCTGCTTGGAGGTCTCCCAGGAGAGGGGCTGTGGCTCAGTGGGTTTGCGTCTGCTTGGCATGCAGAAGGTCCCAGGGTCAACGCTTGGCTTCTCCCATTAAAAGGACCAGGCAATAGGTGGCCTGAAAGACCATTGCCTGAGACCCTGGAGAGCTGCTGCCAGTCTGAGTTGACAGTAGTGACCTTCATGACCAAAGGTCTGAGTCAGTATCAGGCAGCTTCACTTGTGTTTTTGTCCATAATTCTAGTCAGGACCAGGGCTTTTTTTGTAGAAAAAGCCCAGCAGGAACTCATTAGCATAACAGGCCACACCCAGCAGCAGAAACTCATTAACATAGTAGGCCACACCCCGACAGCACAGCTCATTAGCACATTAGGCCACACCCCCATGTCACCAGAAGTGTTGTCATCCAGCCACACCCACCTTTTGCTTCTTATTCTGTTTACCTTGTTTGTTGTCAAAACCCAGGACTTTTTTTGTAGCAGGAACCCTTTGCATGTTAGGCCACACACCCCTAATGTAGCCAATCCTAATGAGTTTCTGCTGTTGGGTGTGGCCTATTATGCTAATGAACTCAGGAGCCAGCCGGAACTCCGTTTCTGTGCGTTCCTGCCCAAAAATAGCCCTGGTCAGGACTGACCCTGCTTAGCTTCCCAGACACGGCTAGGCCAGGCCATCCAGGGTAGGGCAGGGACTCATAGAAGGCACTACTCATATTTCTAATGGCCCCCAGGCAGAGCCAGGACCATCAAGCAAGGGATCAGTATTTTGATGCGAACACCTTCCTTTGCAGCACTTTCGTCACCGCCCTGTGGATATTCTTGTTCCGCAAAGTATATATGATCGGGTTGAGAAGAGGGGTGATCACCACGTAAATGACAGCGATTTGCTTGTCGCGATCAGGGGCCGTGTGCGACCGGGGGATCAAGTACATCGAGATGATGGTGCCGTAGAACATGGTGACGACGGCCAAGTGGGAAGCACACGTGGAGAAGGCCTTGTGGCGTCCTGAGGCAGACGGCATTCGTAACACCGTGGACAGAATGAGCCCATAAGAAGTCAGGATAACAGACAGGGGGCCCAGCGAGGCCACCGTTGACAGAACGAAAAGGATGGCCTCTGTGACGTGAGTGTCGCCACAAGCCAGTTTCACCAACATGGGCAGCTCGCAGAAGAAGTGGTTGAGACGGTTGGGGCCACAGAAGGACAAACGGAGTGTGCACACCATGTTAATCGAAGCAAAGAGGAAGCCAGTGGCCCAGGACACTGAGGCTAGCTGCAACTGGTGCCATCTGCCCATGATGATGGCATATGTCAGAGGATGACAGATGGCCAGGTAGCGGTCGTAGGCCATGGCACCCAGCAGGACGCATTCGGCACCCCCTAAAGACAAGGAAACGTACAGCTGGGCCATGCAACGGGGGAAGGACATGGTTCCATTCCCAGACTGCAGGTGAGCCAACATCTGGGGCAAGGTGCTGGTGACGTAACAGATCTCTAGTCCTGAGAGGTGCATCAGAAAGAAGTACATGGGGGTTTGGAGGTGGGAGCTGGTTCTCACCAAAAGGATAATCAGTAGATTCCCTCCAACAGTAAGCAAGTACATGAGCAGGATCACGCAAAAGAGAGGGATCTGTGTCTGTCGGTGGTTGGAGAGTCCCACTAAGATGATTTCTGTCACATACGTGAGGTTCTTAGTTTGCATCCTGGCTTTCTGCCTGCAACAAAACGGGAAATGCAACTGAGAGTAACAATATTTGGTAACGGGACAACTTGGAGAGAGAGAGAGAGAGAGAGAGAGAGAGAGAGAGAGAGAGAGAGAGAGAGAGAGTGTGTTAGCCCACGCCGTCTCGGTGTCCACCGATAACAGAGAGCGAGAGAGAGAGAGAGAGAGAGAGAGAGAGAGAGAGAGAGAGAGATTGGATTTACACCCTGCCCTTCAGTGTCCAAAGGTGTCTCAGAGCAGCTTACAAACTCCTTTCCCTTCCCCTCCCCACAACAGACACCCTGTGAGGTAGGTGGGGCTGAGAGAGCTCTGACAGAATCTGCTCTTATTCAAAGACAGCTCTTATCAGAACTACGGCTTGCCCAAGGTCACATCAGCAGGTGCAAGTGGAGGAGTGGGGAATCAAACCCAGCTCTCCCAGATTAGAGTCCGCGCACTCAACCACTACACCAAACTGGCTCTCAACGAGGAACTTCAAGTCAGCCCTGTCAAACTTGGCATCGTTACCTTGTTCCAATCATGAGAATTATCTTTTAACTGATTCTTAAAGATTCCCTTACTAGGAAAAAATGTCTCTCAAAAGTACTGAATGTCAGGGGTTTCTCGATTTGGCTCACATGTCTTAAAACATTCCTCATTACTCAGTGCTTGACTTCTCCAAGAGTTTTTATGGGTGCAAAGTTTCCTGGGAATTGTGAAGCCATTGGGGGGGGGCATATTTTGTTTTCAGGGGGAAATCCTGGAAATATTGGTAAAATTGCAATATAGGCAAATGCTTTATGAAATCAAAACCAAGCTTTCTGTTTTAGCCACATATGCAGCACGTAAAATTGTATGCCTTCATTTTCTACAGGGAAAAAAAATGTGAGCATTCCAAAGATTTGAAATACAGCTGCAAACTACCTTCTGCCACCAAGGTACATGTTTTGTAGTTTGAAGAGTCAGCAGCAGAAAGCAGGCAGTGACCTATAAGTAAAAAGGCCCTGTGGGGTCCACTCATGAAGATGTCAGCACCCTATAGGTGTAAAAAAAATCCATCTTGACTGTGGGTGTTCAAAACATCTACAGTGTGTATAGGAAGTATTTTCAAATGTCCTAGATGCTCTAGGTTGCCTTAAAAGGTAAAAGGTAAAGGTTTCCCTTGCTCGAAAGCCAGTCAAATCCGACTCTAGGGTTGCGGTGCTCATCTCCGTTTCAAAGCCAAAGAGCCAGCGCTGTCTGAAGACATTTCTGTGGTCATGTGGCCAGCATGACTAAACACCAAGGCTCACGGAATGCTGTTACCTTCCTACTGAATGGTACCTATTTATCTACTTGCAATTTCTTGCTTTCGCTAGGTTGGCAGGAGCTGGAACTAGAGACTGGAGCTCACTCTGTCATGCGGCGCACTTGGGTCTCGAACTGCTGAACTACCGGCCTTCCACAGCCTGCAGTTCAGTGTCTTAACCACTTGAGCCACTGGTTGTCTTACATTGTAGTAAATTCTGAGTGTAAATTCATAGTATAGTACATTCATAGTAAATTCTGAGTGGAAAACCATGTGAAAAAGAGAAAAATGATTCATATGAGATTTTTTAAAATTAATCCTCCAAAATTGGAAAAATTGGAAATGTAAGGATCCCATCCCATGTTTTCTGAGCATTGTTCTGGAACAAAATGGTTAAATCTGGAACTGAGTGTGTTGAGGACACATGTGAAAAAGAGAAAAATGATTCATATGAGATTTTTTAAAATTAATCCTCCAAAATTGGAAAAATTGGAAATGTAAGGATCCCATCCCATGTTTTCTGAGCATTGTTCTGGAACAAAATGGTTAAATCTGGAACTGAGTGTGTTGAGGACACGTCCAGAACACAGATAGCCTTTATTTCTACAGGCCCTTAGAGAAGCTAGAGAAGCTGAGGAAACAAAAGAACTCTTTGAAAGCAAGAAATGAAACACATGTTGAAATCAATACAATTTTCAGCACGAAAACTCTCCAGGTTATCTAACACTGCAGAGCAATGGCACACTACCTGGCCTCAGAATACCAGTGAAAACAACAAGATGCGACACTTTCTCCACAATCTGAATTCCAAACTATAAATATAAGCTTACCTTCATGACTCTCACAGGTGTATCTCTGCAAGCAATAAACAGTGTTTTTTCCCACAGGTGTATGTCAAGGTGTACAAAAACGAAGAGAGTATTGCTTCAGTTTCTAATGGAAAATTACAAGCTCTGCTGATGCGGTGTCAGTGGCCAGGGCACTTCCAGCATCCATGGCAGAAATGTTACTGGTGGAGAGATTCTCTCCGTTCTTCTGAAAATGGTGCCTGTGGTAGATCTCAGAAGCCTGATGCCATGTGTCTTGTCTCTCCAGCAGAATAGCAGAAAGCAGTGAGATTCCCTGGCAGTAAAATAGGGAAAAACGTGACACTAGAACTACTAGAATTATTTAGGTTGTACACAGGTGCACTCCCTGCCCCCCCCCCAAAAAAAAGTGGCAATGGTTCTTAATTCTGCTTGGATCGGATCCTCTTTAGATTGCTACTCTTGCCCAGTCAGAAACTCCATTAGGGGAAGATGGATGGAAGTCAACATCTTTTCCAAGGCAAAACATCGAGTGCAAAGTTAGGGTTGAAGCGGCTTAGTACATGAGCAGGATCTGACACAGGTAGAAGTCAGGATCTGACACAGTGCTGACACAGGTAGAAGGTCCTTTTTGGAAGGACTGTGTCTCTTGGCTGGCAGATGCTCTCCAAGGTCTCAGGCGGACATCCACTTATGCCTTGCTAACTCTTGGCTGGCAGAGGCTCTCCAAGGTCTCAGGTGGACATCCACTTATGCCTTGCTAATATACTTCTTCTAACATGAAATTCGGGAGACCTCAAACATGAAAATCCTATCCTCTGTCCCTAAGCTCTGGACCCTACCTCCCTTTAGCACACTCCTCAACCACTCTGCTTCTAAAAAATCCTGGTAGAAAATACTGCTTCTGGTCTCCCTTGGCTCGTAGTGAACCTCCAAGACCTCCGGTAGATGCCCATCGATGCCTTAGTGCTTTTGTTCTCTGACTTGAGATGTCAGGGCCCTATGCAGTCTACCACAAAGCCGTCATCCCTAACCAGCCTCAACATGCTTCTCCAAGAAATGTCTATGGTCAGTGCAATCTGGTTTGTTCAAAGCCACCTCTATTGTGATTAATTCAATAGTGGCAGCATGTCTCCCAGTGGTTATCATCAAACGCTTGAAGATTCAGTAAGGCAATAAGACTGTGGAGATTTTCCCCAAGGATAGTGCTGTTCCCTTTAATGCTCTCCTCTGGATCATAGCCGTGTGCTGGCTAATTCTCTTGTGTCCCATGGGCTTCATATAGAAAAAGGGAAACTTTCCATAATTCAGTCTTCTAAACTGTTAGAGGAAAGAGTCGGGCAACTTGCCGTGCCATCCTAAACAGAGTTCTGCCCTTCTAAGCCCTGCTACTTCAATGGATTTAGAAGAGTGTAACTTTGGTTAGGATTGCACAATGACAAATTAGCCTGTTCTCCCCAAAGATCTGAAATCGTAAATTAAGCCATTGTTCAACTTGCACACTCTGTAAGGAGCAAACATGCCCTACAACCTTATTTAATATATTTGCTTGTATAAAGGTAAAAGGTAAAGGTTTCCCTTGCTCGAAAGCCAGTCGAATCCGACTCTAGGGTTGCAGTGCTCATCTCCATTTCAAAGCCGAAGAGCCAGCGCTGTCCGAAGACGTTTCCGTGGTCATGTGGCTGGCATGACTAAACACCGAGGCGCACTGAACGCTGTTACCTTCCCACCGAAGTGGTCCCTATTTATCTCCTTGCAATTTCTTGCTTTTGAACTGCTAGGTCGGCAGGAGCTGGAACTAGAGACGGGAGCTCACTCCGCCATGCGGCACACTCGGGTCTCGAACTGCTGAACTACTGAACTTCCACAGCCTGCAGTTCAGCGTCTTAACCACTTCTACATCTACAACTACAGCCTTATTTAATATATTTGCTTGGATACTAGGCTCAAATTTACCCACCAGTTTTTCTGACTCTTCCCATAGGGCTGGGATGTGTCCAGGCAGACATTGAAAATGTGCAGTTTTCCCAAACACATGTACACCTAATACATTTTGTCTGTCTCCACCTTAGCCAGGGTCTATGCCCAGGCAGCATCCCTCCCAGGGTCTATGCCCATGTGATCCCTCCCATTACAAGGTATTCAAATGGATTTTGTCTGCTTGTGGAAAATCTTCTGTAATGGCCACAGTTCGGAGGCATAGCAGCACATGATTTTGCAAGCAAAGGTGTAAAATGGATTTGTATTTCCTCTTTCCTCAAAAATCCTTGATGCCACCCCTTCCACCCTCCTAGTCCCAGGTACTTCAAAGATCGAAGGTGGATTTCAACTTGTGTGGGGCAGGCTGAAAAACTAAGTGGATGGTTCAGAGTTCTGGTGTGTCACAAAGTCAATGCAAAAGGGAGCTCAGAGTTGGACTTCTCAGGCTAGATACTGTCTTCAGGTGATTGATGGATATGTTTTTGTAAAAGGATTTCAGCTGCAGGACATCTGCTATGCACGTTCTGTTCCTGGTACCTGGATCATCTGTTGTGTTTTGGGAAGTCATTTAACACATTTCCCATCCAGGGCTCTCAAAAACATTATCATTACCCCATCACAATACTTCCTCCTCCTACTGTCTAATTTTAAAAAGTGACCAGTCCCACAATATATTCCGGGATCTCTTTAGCTATAATCAGATAATGACCCCGCCCACACCGAGAACTCCAGAGTCCCTAGTTGTTGGCTGCTGTGGTAGCTAGGTAAGCAGGCCAACAAAGGAAGGAGAGAGGGAAGTTTAACCCATTGCCTTTGTGAAGAAATGATTTTTTTTCTTGGAGGTTGAAATGAGCAAAACCTTTACTTTGTGTTTTAATCCCCCCACCCGGGGCAAAGAACAGGCAGGAAGAGGAGAAGTCAATTCA